GTCGCCGCAGCTTTGCCGGTGTGATTTGCGTGGCAGGCGCGGTACTTGGTGCAAGGGGTCGGATTGGATGTACACGGGGCACGGCATTGATGTCCTCTACGCAGACATACGTGATCCATTACGCGCGCACTCGACCACCATTCAGATCCACACACGCGTCACATATACATACGCCGGCAGGCGCAATGAGACAAACCATCAACTGCCAACCAACAACCACCAACCAACAACCGCCACCCCATCAACGTTTCTCACTGCGCTTCTTCTTCTTCTTCTTCTTCTTCTTCTTGCTACACAGGTTGTAGCTGGTAAAGTTAGTTCACATGTGGGGTTCCGGTCCTATAATTGTGTCCAACAATAAAACATCTCAGCTTTTTGGCCGTATAGCGAACGCTGTCTTAGTCATCGCTTCTTTTGTTTTCCGGCGGGCCTCGCTCACTGGGTTTTCTTGCTCGAGTTGTCTTTTCCTTTGAAGGAAGGTTTTTCTTCGACTGCTCGTCAATGAGACCTGTTAGAATTGTAAGAAACAGTTTGTCTATAACCTATATTGATATTACAATATTGTGTATATATATATATACACACATTTTTTTATATTTATATCTATCTCTATATATATATATTTCCCCACATCACTATGTGGGTTCTTGTTTTTCGCTCGCGCCAGCCGCTCCGCCTCCCCGTCCTCCGTCCACTCATCACACCACTCATCACGCGCCACTCATCGCACACCACTCCTCTTACACCACCCATCTGACACCGCTTATCACACACCACTCATCGCAAGCGGTCGTGTGGCAGGAGCAGTGCGCAGAGCCTTCGGGAGGCTTGGTGGACGCGTGGGCGCCGCTGGGCCACGGTTCCCTTTGGTGTGGCAGGCGCAGTGCGCAGAGCCTGCAGGACCTGGTGGACACGTGGGCGCCGCTGGGCCGCGGTTGCCTTTCGTGTGGCAGGCGCAGTACAAAGGCCCTTCAGGAGGACCTGCTGGACGCGTGGGCGCCGCTGGGCCGCGGTTGCCTTTCCTGTGGCAGGTGCAGTGCGCAGAGCCTTCAGGAGAACCTGGTGGACGCGTGGGCGCCGGTGGGCCGGTTGCCTTTCGCGTGGCAGGCGCAGGATGCACAGAGCCTGCAGGAGGACCTGCATGGTGGACGCGCCACGGTTGCCTTTCGTGTGGCAGGCGCAGTACACAGAGTCTCTAGGAGGACCCGGTGGACGCTGGGCCGCTGGTGGACGCGTGGGCGCCGCTGGGCCGCGGTTGTCTTTCGTGTGGGCGGGTGGGCGCCGCTGGGCTGTGGTTGCCTTTCGCGTGGCAGGCGCAGTTCACAGAGGCTTCAGAGCCTTCAGGCGCAGTACACAAAGCAGCGGTACTTCTGAAGAAACTTACATAAAGCTGACCTACAAAAGAAGTTAAGCAGCTACACCCACACACTCTGTCTTTCTCACATCGGTGGCTCTTTCATTCATTTTTATCGTCCAGTACTTTTCCGTCCTCTTTTCTTCTCAGTCTCTACTTCTCCTTGCTAGTTCTTACAAACTTAGCATGTGGGGTTAGCCGGTCCTTTTATTGTTTTTGGATGCAAACTCAACTATTGAGCTCTTTGAGGCTTGGTCATGTACAGCTCACATTGAAGCACACAATTCTACGTTTTCAAGAGTGGTTGCCAAGCTCGCAACGTAAAGTGAGCTGGTCAAGTGGTAGGACATGATGGACATGCAAAGAACTTGTCGGAGGCTCTGCATCTCAGAAACAACGCGTGATCCTTTGCTGCTGGATGAGACACGACACACTGGCTTTTTGGGCAGAAGACGTGACACCGCAAGACATTGCAACATCATATGTCTTTTGCCTTTGTGCAATGACAGGCTATGTTGACTTCATACCACAACATACCCACCTCACGCCGGAAACTCATTGGGCTAACATGTTTGGGACTTCCAGCGCAGGCGACGTTTAGGATGTTTAGGCAGACAATTCCATACTTGTATGAGGTGGTGAGCCGGTCATACTGTTGATGGACAAAATCCTACACCACTTTGTGCACACTTTTCTTGCTGCCCTCGTTCTCCCTCGTTAACATTGGGGCCACCAGAGTGAGAAAACAAAAACAAGTTGAAGGTCCAAAATCCTGCACCACCTCCTCAAAGGGGTCGTGCCAACATTGAATGAGGGGCACGGGGGTTGCTGTGCGACCCTTCCAGGGTAAAGTGGTGAGGTGGTGCAGGATTTTGTCCATCAACAGTATCAATTAGACTTGTTTGCCCTGTCCAAATTGACTCGATATTGTCAATATTGATTCAACTTGGACAGGGCAGACAAGTCTGGGTTGAGGCAGCATGACAAGGGGCATGAGGCATTTCAATATTGTATTCCATGAGATTGAGACCCTTTGCGGTTCTTCCCATTTGCTGATTTCTGTTGCTTTAACTTGTTGAAGGTGTAGGGGTCATAGGACCTTAAGATGCACTGGCTTTTGGACATGCTTGGACTCCAGAAACTTAGGGGGCCTTTGGCTTTCTTATTTTCCTTCCCATAGTCTGTTTGCGGAGTTGCAATAAGACCATGTTTTGTCGCTGTGAATGGTTGTCAGTTCGTTCTTCTTAGTAGCGTCCTTGCTCCTAGTAGTATGGCCAGGAGCCCCTAGTAGCGTCCTTGCTCCTAGTAGCGATGCCAGGAGCCTCTAGTAGCTTCTTGTTGTCAGTTCGTTCTTCTCTGTCAACTCTTCGTTGAACTTTTACCTTTGAGGCTGATGAGTGCGTCTTTGCAGATTCTGAGCGGCGGATTGGGTCGACTGCTTGTCGTCATGTTGCGCCCTCAGTGCTGTTTGGTGCTGTTGCCCTCAGTCATAAGACTGGTCAAACAATGTGCAGCATTGCCCCTAGAAACAATGGCCTCCAACCTAATAGCGATGGCCTCCAGTTTGTTGAATCTTGTTGCTCATTTGTCTTGCGCGGGCGTAGGGCACCAACCTCTGTGACAAAGTGATTGACCAAAGCTGGGAACAAAGTCATTGCAGAAGCAAGGCAACGGCGACCGCGATGAAGGCTCTACAAGCTTCAAGCTTTGCCCAGCTTGGCCGGGTTTCTTAGCCAGGCAGACCGTGCCTGCATTCCTCATCTGAAGAAATGGTTGCTGCGCTGTTGGCTGGTAGCCTCTTGTGATTGGACTCTGTCCTTGTAGGAGCTTAGACCAATGTGGAGTCTCCGCACGGTGGCATGATTTGAGTGCTCAAGGGATCGCCAAGTTGGGGTGCTTTATGGTCACGATGCGATGTTCTCATAGCCATTGTGACACCAATGGCGCTCCTACGGGAACTTTTGGCATTCTGTCTCGGAGGAGTCATGATGATGCTGGCTCTTCCAGGCCAGTTGACGGCGCCTGTCAATTTTTCGATTGGAGCTTGTCAAAAAGAGTGTGGTATCCCACGCTTTGCTGCCAAATCAATGCATACGATGAATAAGTTTTAGCATACTGGTTGTCATTGTCTTGAACTTGCCGTTTCATTGGCTGACATTGGAGTGCAGGCTGGACTTCGCCAGTTGAGCCTGTTGTCCCTGCCAGAACTCCTGTTCCTTTTGATGACGGCTGGAGGCTATGAGGAATGTGGACAAATGTTGGGATGCTGACAATTTGAGAAAACCCACAACTCGAAGAACTTAAGCACAAAGTGGCTGACAGATCATTGCAGCTTAACCGCTTAGCCATCAATTCAATGAAAGGGGTGTGCTTTTGTTCACACCGGCGAAATTCCAGAGCATGCAAATCGAAATGAGGCCACAAACTTTTGGTGGAAAACTAGCGACAAACTAAAAGCCTTTGTGCTTCAAAAAAGCCACAGATTAGTGTTTCACTCGTCCGGGTTGGGCGGGAAACCTGGAAGACCAACAGCGTTCTTCTGTGCTGGGATGAAGAACAGTGATAACGGTGTTTCTTTTGTTTTTCTTGTTGAGATATTTCGACTTGGCCTGAAGGTCTGAGGAGCCTGTGACTGAGCAAGCTGCGAGTTTCACTATGGGCACAGACTCTGAATCATTCTTGGAGCACTTCATTGACCAGTTGGAAAACCTTACAGTGAAGGAGACTTGGGGCTCTCACATTTTTGGACAAGTAAGATACTATCGCGAGAAGAAGGATGCATTTGGGAACAAAGCAGACTTTGCAACTGCATCCCACGTTATGCGATGGTACGACAAAGAAGGAAGGTGTGGAAATGTGATCAACGCAAGTAATGCGATTGTGCTACTTGCTGGAGCAAATCAGGGGAAGTCGACAACAAATATTTTGCAGGCTTGCCACAAAGCACGCATGCATATCTTCGAGATACAGCAGCGATTGTTTGACGCGCAGTTTAAGCGATTCAGAGACTCCTCTCTGGTCAAAGTTCACAGAAAAGGGTGGTCCGATAAGATCCAACAACTTCAAATTACATTGCCCTTGAACAATCATGAAACAGCTGGACTTTTTCTACCCACTGGCAAGTGGAAAAATGCAGTTCTGCTGAATGAGACTGTTGAGACAATCCCACTTGCAGACTTCGTGCTTCACGCAGCCTGTCGATGAGTTCAGTTAAGATTTTGTTGGACCCGAAGGATGACGCACGAAGCAGACTTAGCACCGTATGTTTTTAGCTTTCCAGAAGGCTTCTTGCGGAATGAGGTTTGCTTCCCTAGCTGCCCATCAATAGAGCCAGTGTGTGTAAGAATTCCGTGCATTTCTTCTACCAGCCGGCTATTGCAGCGTGTGAAGACTCGGAAACCATACATCTCAATGCGTATTGTGGTAACATCACCTAAAGTTAAACAGTGCAAAAAGAGGCTCATGTTTTTGTTTTTCTTTCCACATCGAGCTACCAGGAAAACTTGGAGCGGATCAGCTATGTGCTGATTGATGTTGAGGGGAAAGAACCCAACGTCATTCGAGGAATGAACTTGGAATCGAAGAGACACATCTTCCCAATCTTTCAGTACGAACTTGGTGGCACGTGGACGGATAGCAGACATGACGAGAATCAGTGGGGTCAATATGGAATTGCAATGTATTTGAAGGCTTTGGGGTACAAGCTTTTCCTCATCGGCGCAACTCTGAGTGGGCAGGAGAAGCCGATCCTCCTGCAGGTTGACCCAGAATTCTTTCGATTCTTCTCATTCCGACCTGAAGTGGATGTAGGAGGAAACCTACTAGCATTTCATCCTGAATTTGCTGATGCTGGACTTTGGGAATACCTGCAAGGCTTTGTTCGCTCCTCAGGTTCTAAAGTCTTGGCCGTTGATTGAGCTTACACAGATTTGGCAAGAAAAACAGTGGAGTTGATTTTCCGCAGACGAAGCCCTACCCTAGCTTGCCCTTTCTATTTTTGTGTAACCATGAGAGTGACACACCAAACAAGACGATGGTGGGTGGGCACTTGTGCTGAACCATTTTGGCTCAAGTGCCCATTCACAGGTGCCCCTGATTGTTGCCATGTTTGTTGGAAGAGCTTCTGGCTGGCTGGCACCTTTCTTCTGGGGCACTTGGTGGGCGTGTGCATTACGCGCTGGTGCTGCCCACCTGTGAGTCGTCCATTGTTGGTGACACCACATTTCCTGGCCCTTCTGATTCCTGGCTTGAGCAATTGCAAGAGAGTGACGCTGAACAGCATTGAGCGGGTATGCACCTGGACGGGCCTTCGTCGTGAGTTTTGACAGACGGTCTACCCCTCGTGCTTTGGCAACTTTTCATCAGTGTACTTTGCAGCGGCGCGAGCAACAGCTGTGACTTGACCTCCTCTCCAACAAAGAATGCAGTTGACGAGTTGGTTGGGGCCCAGGTTGAACTTTTGGGGAGTGGTGACATCGACCAAGCGCACGGAAATTTCCGGGATGCAGCCTCCCCAATACGGGCCACGGGTCCATCGAGCAAGGCAGAAGAGGCCAGACTGCAGACTTGGTTGGAACTTTTGACGAAGAGGGCGCGCTGGGCCTGCCAAGAACTGGCGTTTTGATTTCGATCGTAGAGGTTCAAAGTTGAGCTGGCACGCTTGGGGCTAGACACTGCTGGTGCCTGTTTGGACCACATGAGGGCTGTAGTTACCCTTGGGCGCCGGTCAGCAAAGCAGCGGCGGCAGGGAGGTTGCAGCGCCTGCAAAGGAGCTCGCGATCTTGTTGGGCATTTTATCCTGAAGCTCAATTGGTCGATATTCAGTGCCAAGCCTTAAGTGAATGAACGAACCCGGTTGGAAGGCAAAATGCAGCTTCTTAGTCGCAGAGGCGACCCAACTTCGTTGCAAAGAAGGACTTCGTAGTAGAAACCCAAAAGCGTCTAGAATGCGCTCAAACCTCAGGCCTTGCTGTGGGCTGTGACATCGCCAGGGCCACAGGTCACTTTATGAGGGGAAGCGGGGCCAAAGAGATGCGAGAAAGGGCCGTACCTTCATCTCTATACAATGATTCGTGAGACTTTCTTCGCAATCCAAGAGTGAGGAGGCCTTGAGTAAGTCGTTCGAATTTTCGATGAGACTCAAGGGTGAAGTGACCTTGGTTGAGAGTGTGGCCACGCTATTGTGGAAAATTGACAGGTTTGAAGCTTGTAGTCGTTGAAGCAACCCACGCAGAACAGCTGGCTGCAGAGTTGAAGAAAAATGGAAGTTGGTTTGATTCAGAAGAAAGAAACGAGCGATGCGACTTGAAGCTCGCAGGGCCCTCAGGCAAAGACGCGTTTTCAATGTGATTTCCCAGACGCTGCACGCGCCAAGAGGAACTATGTCCATATCCGCGGGTCCGAGGAAATGGGCAGCGAAGTGTAAATGCCATGGGCATTATTGTGGGAAGATGACGGTGTGCCATCATGTTTTAGCAGTGCAAGAAATGTTTTGAGATAAAATTACATGAGTGGTTGATGGGGGCACGTGATTTGACATTCCACATTTTAAATCAAATGTTGTCTTTGGTTGGGTTCATGGAGCTTAGAGATCACTTGCGCTTTCAAACTCAGTTTCAACTCGTGCCACCATCCTTGCAGAAAAGCGGCATGAAGGGACGGTAGGGCGGGGGAGTGATTCGTGTGTTTCAGCCGAATTCGCTACCTTGTTTACGACTATATAACGTTTTCCACCACCCATACCTGACGACGCAAGGCTTTTCTGTAAGACCAGCTTGCATGTCCAACATCTTCAGATAATACATGTTCTCCACTAAATAGTGTTTCAATTCTATCATAAACTCTTTCAAGCGGTCAAGCAGCAGTCAACCAAAAACAGTGACAACATTTTTCAAATACTTAGAGCAGACAAACTTACCCATGACCCGATCTTCTCCCTGCGTCCGTGAAGTTGCATCATGTCATTCCCAGGTGGTGGTGGCGAGGCCGCTGGAGCACTGCAAGACATGAGGATTTGGTGATGTTGGGCTGATTCTGCCAAATCTGCTGTTCAGCGCTGGGAAAATTGATTCTTTGCCCAACTGCCAACAATACTGACGCTCGCTACATTGGAGAAATTGCCAGCGTTGCCGGGAACAAGATTCTGCACGAAGCTGCGCGAAGGACTATGGATGCCTACATGTTCAATTGACCGCGGACTGAACAATGAACTCTCATGTTTTAATCCCAAATCTCAACTTCCTGGCCTGGCTGCAACCGCCTACTTGCCTGCGGTCTTGGTTAGCTGTGCAGATATATGATCGAAACTTGGAGAACTGTGTACAAAAACAGCAGTCTATATGCAGGTGTGACAGGTTTGATGAATTTTTGACTGAAATTTATGCAGTGAAAACGGCAATTGAAAACTGAGCCTTGGCTCAAAGAAAACTATGCCGTGACTGAGTCAACGTTCTCTCAGAGGAAACATTAAACCTGTTGTGTGAAGCAAAAACAACGCCAACATGTGACTTCCTTGCACCAACTTGCTCACGTTTCAATTTGTTTTCTTGGTGTTAGGCCTCTGAACACGCGGTGCATAAGCGAACGAAATTAGCAGGAAACTGAAACCAAACGCTTCAGCCAAACAACTTCAATTGCCATGATTGGTGCCCTTGCAGCCGTTGGATCTCCACCCTGCCCCGCTCTGGGTGTGCACAACCAGACAGGATTTTTCTTCAGCACTCTCTTTAATCAAAGGCGCAATGTCACATGATAGCGTTTATGCTGACTTGCACGCTGGACTGTTTCTCCTTTAACTTATGTCAATTTTCGCAGCTAGGCCGGTGCATGGGAATGTGGTCAGGCATCAGAAGGCCAAGCGCTAGTGTGGAGCATCAAGTTGACATTGTCAAGGGATGCAGAGCGAAGCAGTGGCAAGAAGACTTGCTAAGTTGCCACGCGCTTTTTGCACTTTCAGCCTGCCAACATGGCGCACGATGCTGACAAGTTTGGTCCAGATCTCTGTGATTTGGTGCAGTACAGGTCTCCTCAGTTTCGAGCAGCAGCTTCAGGTGCAGTTGTTGAGCACAGATTCTGCCAGTCAGTCCCTCTCACTAGTCCCTCTCACTGTGCAGGTGCGAAGCCTGGTGTGCGGCCAGCAACCGAGTGCAAACGAAAAGAGATGAACGTGGAAATAGGGAAACACTCTGGAAACTGATGTTCTTTTTGCAAAGTCTTCAGACAACCCTCTGATGCTTGTTTCGTTGCCACAAAGAGCTTTATTCTTTCTTGCACCTCAGTTTTGTTTCGAGCCAAAGGCTGGCGACCTCTGAACAAATCGTTGGGTTTACCATCAAGGAGTGCCCAATCAAGTTGACAATCTTGCACAACATCTACTTCAGAGCTCATATTATGTCAAGTTATGCCTGTCTTTACGCGGCTTTTGTAAACCGTTTCTAAAGTAAACAACTCGTGGACTACAGTATGTCGCCGCTCTCTTTCTGCTCGCTTTCGTGTGTTGAGAAAAGAACACCGACTATGTCGTGACGGCATTTGAGGTACAAAGGTCTTGTCATGGGCTCCACGGTGGGGTGTCCAGGGAACAAGTGGTGTTTTCGGCACCTGATGCGTGGTGAAATGTGAAATCAGGACATGCATGGAAGTGCAACAATAAAACCAAGCAAGAGGAAGACAAGCATGGCGGTTGCTACCTCGTTGTGCCCTTGTTTTTCTTTCTTGACCAAGTTCTGAGCTTCAGAGTTTGAGGTGCGCGCAAAAGATGTCACGAAAGACATAACCAGCGCTATCACAGCGGCAGAGTTCTGAGTGATTATGATTTTGCCAACAAAATCTGGACGGGTAGCTTCAATGATATTGTTGATCCATCACCGCTCGTCACTCCTTGGTGATATTGCGCCATCATCGTGAAACCGTCGTAGTGTCAGGTCTTTGGTGGGGAGCTTCCTCACTATACACAGTTGATGCAGGAGAAATATGTACATTTGGCCAAAAACAACACGAAATAAGCTGAGAAGGATACCGCAATGCGCCGCAATGGGGCTTTCCTTTCAGGATGCACGTGAAGAGGCAATGTCACGCTTGGAGGAGAGAAGACCAGATACTGCAAATAGCTCTTTGGAAAGTGGTGACAACATTGAATCGGTGTCACACGGAGGACGAAGCAGTGAAGCTCGGCGCGAATGCGGTGAAGGCCTCAGGAAAAACAACAGTGTGAGTGTATGCTTCAAATTCTACAACACCTTCACACATTGAGAAGGACACTATATAACTGTAGTAATTGCTAAGTCCTAGAGTCCTTGATTGATAACTAGACTTGCAGTTATAGCTCCACTTTTGCATGCCTCGTGGTGATGTTTCCAGGGCAGCAGCTTCAGAAGAAACACTGAGTCTACTTTGTCATTTCATAAGGATGATGAGGATGGATAGGATGAAGAAGATGAACTAGTAACTAGTACTAGTGATTCCACCAGATGACTTTTTCTTTAATGTTAATGTTTGTATCCTTCTGCGCGGGCGCCCTTCATCAATCATAGTGAGGTGCATTGGGCAAGCTTAAATATTTTAGACTGATGCAAGAAGCGCTTGAACTTCCCCCTTTGCTGCAAGGTTGTGAGCTTGAGACTCTCCTCAACCAACATTGCGGCTTGCGGCTCACATCGAAACACAGACTGCATTTCTCGGAAGCACTTATCGAAACACGTTTGTAGCCCATTTCTGAGACTCTGTTGCACTTCACGCGATCTTCGCACTGTCACTTTGCACACAGTGTACCATGTTTTTGCCTGACCCGAGGCTAGCATAGTGATTCTAGCCGGTACCCCATGCTACCCTCGTTTTAACACGCGGAGTGACTGGCATGACACCTCATCACTGACGGTCATTCTTCTTGCCGTCAGTTCACATTTGTCATGCCTCTGTGACAGGTCTCATGTCACATTTGTCATCAGTCATAATATACCATTGGTGGCTTAGATCAGGCCTTCATTTCCTCAACGTCTTTACCTGCAGTTCACATCCGCTTTTGCTTAGACTTCAAACCAAACATGTAGTTGTGCTGTGGATGGTCAACAGGTTGAGAGATTGGGGAAAAGCTCCGATTTTGACTGTCATGCCAACAGAAGAAGTGAGAACAACAGTTTTGTACTCCGTACCCCGACAAAAAGAGACTGCAAATTGTAAGAGACAGAGAGAGAGAGAGAGAGAATTTGGAAGTAGTGCAGTTCAAAATTTAAAGGTTTGCTCTTGGTAATGTTGGATCCTGATTAGTAAATAGGGGCTCCCTCCTCAAACAAACAGGAGACCCTCTATAATAAACGATCACCAAAACAAATCTGGATTCCTGTGATAATTCCTTTTTGTAATTGATTACAGATGTGAGTTGGACGCAGCTCTCAGCTCAAGCTTCCTCAGTGTTTCCTCAGCAGGGACTTTGCGAGGCATCCCTCAGCCATGCCTACAGCTCAGGAGATCTTTGGACCACTCTGTCCTGACGACCAGGTCATCACCTATGACAGGCTCAGGCATGAGCCTGCAGCCTTTTGCCCCTCAGGCCACAAGGTGATCCTCAGCAGAATCCCTTGGCAAGCAGGGTGCAGACACTGCTATGGGGTCAATGGGCGGCCTGCGGGCGTCATTGCTCAGTTCTATGATGAGGTGCTCAGCTGCCAGGTGCCATGCGGAGCTCAGCTAACTAGCCAGAATCCTGAGTTCACAGCAGCTCAGTACAAGGGCAAGACGGGATGGTTGCAGCAGCAGAAGAATCAGCAAAGGGGGAAGGGGCCTGATGCTCAGCCTGCTGCTCAGCCTGCAGCTCCACTGCGCCTCCAGATGCTCCTCCAGGAGTTGGTCCTCCTCCTCCGCCCTTGTCTCAGCACGCAGAGTTTCGGGACTCACCTCTCAGTGAGGAAATGCTCAGCTGGGTGAAGAAAAACATGGGGATGTGAAGTCGGCCAATGAGGAAGAGCTCAGAGTGATGGCTCAGGGCGTGAAGGGTTGGCAGGAAAAGTTGGCTGTCAAGTGGATGGACAACCAGCGCCAGCAGGAGAAGCTCAGCTCAGCTTTGACGTCAGCAAAGGCAGATGCTGAGAACATGGAGCAGGTGGAGCAGGCCTTGCTGGAAGTGCACCGTGGCACTGAGGAAAGGCTGACTCAGCTGGAGAAGGAGAAGAAGGATGCTGAGCTGAGCCACAGAATCCAGGAGTTGGTTGAGAAGCTGGGCTCAGAAGGGTTGCGCAGCATAGCTGAGTCAGCAAGCCCTGAGGAGATTCGCTCAGCCTTTGCCATCCTGCTGGAGAAGCGCGCTCAGCAAAAGCAAGCGCCTCAGCCACAAGAAGAGCCTCAGCCTGCACAGGCTGAAGCTGCTGCGGCTCAGGCAGAAGGGCATGCTGCAGCTCATGTGGCTCAGGGAGAAGGGCCTGCCTCAGCCCCTGTGACTCAGACAGAAGGGCCTCCTCAGTACAAGGCCCCACCGCCTCAGTTAAAGAGGAAGAGTGGGCCCCAGGAAGACACAGTGGATCAGATGGACTGAGAGAAGAGCTTCTCAGTCAGTTTTGAAACTGAGCTTGAGCGCTTTTGGAAAAACAGAGCTCAGCTGCTTTGGGTGGGTGTGTGTGTATGTGTGTTGTGGTGGGGGTGGTAAAACCATCGGCCTAGTAGTATTAATGTTGGATCCTGAGCATTAAGAATTACTAGTTTTTACTTTTCTTAAGGAAAAATCTTTTCACAACTGAGAACCCAAGAACAAATCTATTATTGAGGATCAGGTGCCTTCCCGGTCTACTACCTTGAAAATTTGTTTCGGAGCAATGTTTTCAAGGGTTTAATTGGGAATTGGTGGTTTTGGTCAGCTGTCAGTTTTGAAGAAGCCTAGAGA